CGGTGGTGGGTGTACACCCAGGACCCCATTCCAACATAAAGTGGCCTGGTCTCAGTTATCTGATGAAAGTTGCAAGCGAGAATTTCATCATCGCTTGCGGCTGGGATTGGCATCGTCCCCGACTCCTCCTGATGTCGAGGGTAAATGGGCGAGGTTTAGGACTGTGACTCGTGCAGCTGCAATGGCTGCTTTGGGTACGCGGTCCAGACCTCCCCAGAGACCCTGGCAGACAGAGGAGGTGTTCAGGATGGTTGAGAAAAAGCGACAGGCCCACTGTCATCGGCTACAGAATCCCACGTCAGAGAATGAGGAGGCTTACCGCAGCCTTCGCTCGGAGGTTCGGAGAGCCGTGAGGCGCTGCAAGGATGGGTGGTGGTCGCGGGTTGCTGAGGAGATGGAGTCTGCCTCAGTGGCCCGTGATCACAAATCTCTATTTAACTCCATCAAAAAAGTAACCTGCAGCGCCACACCTATTACCATCATTAGGGGAAAAAACGGTGATCCAATCTCCGACCCCCAGGAACAGGTTCACAGATTTGCTGAGCATTTCTGTGAGGTCCTGGGGGAGGGAAAATCCCTCAGCCAGGAAAACATCGTGGCACAAAGTGAGGATGACCCTGCTGAGGCTGCGGTGCCTCAAATATTGGAAGAAGTCACCCCCTGTGAGTGGCTGGCTGAGGTGCCATCTGCTGAGGAAGTATTGAAGGCTATCCGGAGTCTGAGAGAAAGGCAGCGGGCAGAGATGATCTCCCAAGCGAAATGCTGAGGGAGGGTAGCGTTTGTGCACAGACTGCCCTATATGACATCATAACAACAGTCTGGACCACTGGACGGGTTCCGCAGGATTGGAAGGATGCCCTGGTGGTCCCCCTTTTTAAGAAGGGGGAACGCACAGACTGTAACAACTACAGGGGCATCTCACTCCTCAGTGTGCCGGGAAAGGTCCTGGCAAGGATTATTCAGCATCGCCTTGCCAGGCACGCTGAGGAGAGGCTTGCGGAGCCCCAATGCGGTTTCAGGAAAGGGCGGTCCTGCACAGATGCCATATTTTCTGTCCGTCTGCTACAGCAGAGGTGTAGGGAATTCCAACAAGACCTACATCTCTGCTTTATTGACCTGGTCAAGGCCTATGATACCATCAGTAGGCCTGGGCTCTGGGTCGTTCTTCGTGCTTTTGGAGTACCTGACCCTCTGCTCACGATCATTAAGGACCTTCATGATGGTGAGCGGGCCCGGGTAAAACTACGTGGCCGGGAGTCAGAGCCATTCCCTGTACACCTTGGGGTGCGACAGGGATGTCCTCTGGCTCCCACATTATTTAACATCTATTTTGACCACGTAGTTCGTGAAGCCTTCAATAGCTGTACCGGGGGAATCTCCATATGGTACAGATCTAATGGGAGGCTTATCGATGCCCGGGTGCGGTCAAGGGATGGCTCCCTATTGCTCAACCACGTTATGTATGCTGATGATTTGGTAATAGCTGCTCAGTCAGAGGAGGAGTTGGAGACGCTGCTGCTGAGACTGGAGCGTGCCACTAAGAGGTGGGGCCTTACCATCAGCCCCACCAAAACTAAGCACCTGCCTGGGTATTTTGTACCATCGGACACTCCACCCCCACAACTCTCAATCGGTGATGGGGCAGTTGTGGAGAGAGTGGAGAGTTTCCCATACCTGGGCAGTGTGCTCATGACTGGCTCCAGTTTAACAGCAGAGGTCTCACTCCGAATCAGTCGAGCGGCAATATCTTTTCATCGGTTGCGTAACGCTGTGTGGAAGCTACCTGGTCTGTCGCTCCGCACTAAGCTTCAGGTCTTCTCGGCCACGGTCATTCCCTCCCTTCTCTACGCTTGCGAAACGTGGACCCCCCTAATGGAACATCTTCCCCGGTTAGAAACATTTAGGCTGGCCTGCCTACGATCCATCCTGGGTTTAACCAGACTGGATTGTGTGAGGAGCTCACAAATCTTTGAAAGATCTGGGCAGGGTCCCATCGGTGAGCTCCTCTGGCAGGCAAGGCTGCGATGGCTGGGTCATGTAGCCCGCATGCCCAGCCACCGCATGCCGCAACAGCTTTTGTTTGGCCGGATTGAGGGGGCTAAGCGGGCGCGGCACGGGCTAGAGAAGAGATGGAGTGATGTGGTACAGGAGGACGTGGAGCTGAGTGGACTTGCCGATGACTGGTACCAGCGGTGTCAAGATCGGCCTCTGTGGAGGAGGCTCGTGAAGGATGCTACTGGGCAGTTGGAGGCAGTCGCCCTCCAACAACAACGGAGGGCGGAGGAGCGACGCTCAGAACAACGAGCGGAGCGCCGGGTGGCTAAAGCACAGCAGGTTGGCACAGTAGGGGGCACAGGTGGTGCATCAGCCAGTCATCTCAGTCAGCCGACCCGTGGCTCCTGGGTCTGCCCCGTGACCTCCTGCCAGCGGGCGTTCGACACTTCACGTGGCCTCACGGTGCACATAGCCTGGCACAAGCGTCGTGGTGACGTCACCGCCACTTAGTGTCGAATGGCGGTTGTTGTTGTTGTTGTGTCCGGCAAAACATCCCCCTACCTCCTCGCGGTGCCGGACGGGCAACTCTGTCGTGGACAGTGCTGTGGGGGGAGGTCCAATTGTGATTGGCTCCTCCCCTCATGGCAAATGTGTCCACCACAGGGGCTAAACGGGGGCTCTGGACGGGTGCGAGTGGCTGGTAACCCCTCCACCTTCAATTAATTACCACTAAACCGCGAATTAAGTATATAACTAATAAGCTTGTGCCGGAGGCCCCGGGGGCCAGGCGTCTATGGTTCAGTGGCATCTACCCAATCTCCGACCCCCAGGAACAGGTTTGCAGATTTGCTGAGCATTTCTGTGAGGTCCTGGGGGAGGGAAAATCCCTCAGCCAGGAAAACATCGTGGCACAAAGTGAGGATGACCCTGCTGAGGCTGCGGTGCCTCAAATATTGGAAGAAGTCACCCCCTGTGAGTGGCTGGCTGAGGTGCCATTGGTTGAGGAAGTACTGAAGGCGATCCGGAGTCTGAGACCAGGAAAGGCAGCGGGCAGAGATGATCTCCCAAGCGAAATGCTGAGGGAGGGCGGCGTTGTGCACAGACTGCCCTATATGACATCATAACAACAGTCTGGACCACTGGACGGGTTCCACAGGATTGGAAGGATGCCTTGGTGGTCCCCCTTTTTAAGAAGGGGGACCGCACAGACTGTAACAACTACAGGGGCGTCTCACTCCTCAGTGTGCCGGGAAAGGTCCTGGCAAGGATTATTCAACATCGCCTTGCCAGGCACGCTGAGGAGAGGCTTGCGGAGCCCCAATGCGGTTTCAGGAAAGGGCGGTCCTGCACAGATGCCATATTTTCTGTCCGTCTGCTACAGCAGAGGTGCAGGGAATTCCAACAAGACCTACATCTCTCCTTTATTGACCTGGTCAAGGCCTATGATACCATCAGTAGGCCTGGGCTCTGGGTTGTTCTTCGTGCTTTGGAGTACCTGACCCTCTGCTCACGATCATTAAGGACCTTCATGATGGTGAGCGGGCCTGGGTAAAACTACGTGGCCAGGAGTCAGAGCCATTCCCTGTACACCTTGGGGTGCGACAGGGATGTCCTCTGGCTCCCACATTATTTAACATCTATTTTGACCACGTAGTTCGTGAAGCCTTCAATAGCTGTACCGGGGGAATCTCCATATGCTACAGACATAATGGGAGGCTGATCGATGCCCGGGTGCGGTCAAGGGATGGCTCCCTATTGCTCAACCACGTTATGTATGCTGATGATTTGGTAAAAACTGCTCATTCAGAGGAGGAGTTGGAGACGCTGCTGCTGAGACTGGAGCGTGCCACTAAGAGGTGGGGCCTTACCATCAGCCACACCAAAACTAAGCACCTGCCTGGGTATTTTGTACCATCGGACACTCCACCACCACAACTCCCAATCGGTGATGGTGCAGTTGTGGAGAGAGTGGAGAGTTTCCCATACCTGGGCAGTGTGCTTATGACTGGCTCCAGTTTAACAGCAGAGGTCTCACTCCGAATCAGTTGAGCAGCAATATCTTTTCATCAGTTGCGTAACGCTGTGTGGAAGCTACCTGGTCTGTCGCTCCGCACTAAGCTTCAGGTCTTCTCGGCCACGGTCATTCCCTCCTTTCTTTACGCTTGCGAAACGTGGACCCCCCTAATGGAACATCTTCGCCGGTTAGAAACATTTAGGCTGGCCTGCCTACGATCCATCCTGGGTTTAACCAGACTAGATTGTGTGACGAGCTCACAAATCCTTGAAAGATCTGGGCAAGGTCCCATTGGTGAGCTCCTCCGGCGGGGAAGGCTGCGATGGCTGGGTCATGTAGCCCGCATGCCCAGCCACCACATGCCAAAACAGCTTTTGTTCGGCCAGATTGAGGGGGCTAAGCGGGCGCGGCACGGGCTAGAGAAGAGATGGAGTAATGTGGTACAGGAGGACGTGGAGCTGAGTGGACTTGCCGATGACTGGTACCAGCAGTGTCAAGATCGGCCTTTGTGGACGAGGCTCGTGAAGGACGCTACTGGGCAGTTGGAGGCAGTTGCCCTCCAACAACAACGGAGGGCGGAGGAGCGTCGCTCACAACAATGAGCAGAGCGCCGGGTGGCTAAAGCACAGCAGGTTGCCACAGTAGAGGGCACAGGTGGTGCATCAGCCAGTCATCTCAGTCTTTCGACCCGTGTCACCTGGGTCTGCCCCGTGACCTCCTGCCAGCAGGCGTTCGACACTTCACGTGGCCTCAGGTTGCACATAGCCTGGCACAAGCGTCGTGGTGACGTCACCGCCACTTAGTGGCGAATGGCGGTTGTTGTTGTGGGTGGGTGAGTGTGGGTGGGTGAGTGTGAGTGGGTGAGTGAGTGTGTGAGTGAGTGTGCGGTGAGTGTGGGTGAGTGATTGTGAGTGGGTGAGTGAGTGTGGGTGAGTGAGTGTGAGTGAGGGAGTGTGAGTGAGGGAGTGTGCGGTGAAGTGGATCATCTCACCTCATTGATCCTTTCCATGCGCAAAGGCCCAAATCCTGGCGGACGCCTGAGCTGCAGATACTCACACACATGACAAAGACAAAGATTCCATGGGTAGCCTGTAACACACTGTAGGGGCAAGTGCTGTTAGCTAGTAGCAGCAGCGCCTATGAAGGCTACCGGCACTGTGGCACACGAGGGGGTGGGTGGTCAGCACCACGCCCGGCCGCCTTTGTCTCCAAATGGCCGATTACTACAAAACCGCATCAGGGACCGCACTTCCAGCGGTTCTGTTCCTGAGTCGATTTGTTCTCAAGTCCAACTTTACTCCTCTCGATTACATACACTTTGTACGGTGTGTAAACTAAACACGTGGAGTGGCTTCAAAAGTTATATCATCTCTTAGTGATGTAGATGCCACTGGTTCTTCACGTTCTTCAGATGTAGATGTCACTGATTCTTCACGTTCTGCAGATGTAGATGCCACTGGTTCTTCACGTTCTGCAGATGTAGATGCCACTGGTTCTTCACGTTCTTCAGATGTAGATGTCACTGGTTCTTCACGTTCTGCAGATGTAGATGTCACTGGTTCTTCACGTTCTGCAGATGTAGATGCCACTGGTTCTTCACGTTCTGCAGATGTAGATGCCACTGGTTCTTCACGTTCTTCAGATGTAGATGCCACTGGCTCTTCACGTTCTTTAGATGTAGATGACGCTGGTTCTTCACGTTCTACAGATGTAGATGCCACTGGTTCTTTATCTTCTGCAGATGTAGATGCCACTGGTTCTTCACGTTCTGCAGATGTAGATGCCACTGGTTCTTCATGTTCTGCAGATGTAGATGCCACTGGTTCTTCACGTTCTGCAGATGTAGATGCCACCGGTTCTTCACGTTCTGCAGATGTAGATGCCACTGGTTCTTCACGTTCTGCAGATGTAGATGTCACTGGTTCTTCACGTTCTGAAGATGTAGATGTCACTGATTATTCATCTTCTGCAGATGTCACTGCTTCTTCATGTTCTGTAGATGTAAATGCCACTGGTTCTTCACGTCCTGCAGATGTAAATGCCACTGGTTCTTCACGTTCTGTAGATGTAGATGTCACTGGTTCTTCACGTTCTGCATATGTAGATGCCACTGGTTCCTTACGTTCTGCAGATGTAGATGCCACCGGTTCTTCACGTTCTGCAGATGTAGATGCCACTGGTTCTTCACGTTCTGCATATGTAGATGCCACTGGTTCCTTACGTTCTGCAGATGTAGATGCCACCGGTTCTTCACGTTCTGCAGATGTAGATGTCACTGGTTCTTCACGTTCTGAAGATGTAGATGCCGCTGGTTCTTCGTGTTCTGCAGATGTAAATGCCACTGGTTCTTCATGCTCTGCAGATGTAGATGACACTGGTTCTTCATGTTCTACAGATGTATATACCACTGGTCCTTCACGTTCTGAAGATGTAGATGCCACTGGTTCTTCACGTCCTGCAGATGTAGATGCCATTGGTTCTTCACGTTCTGCAGATGTAAATGCCACTGATTCTTCACGTTCTGAAAATGTAGATGCCACTGGTTCTTCACGTTCTGCAGATGTAGATGCCACTGGTTCTTCACGTTTTGTAGATGTAGATACCACTGGTTCTTCACGTTCTGTAGATGCAGATGCCACTGGTTCTTCACGTTCTGCAGATGCAGATGCCACCACCACCACCACCATCTATTGAACTTACGACTTTCGGTCTTAACCGGCAACTGGACGTATGGTGCCAGGTTTGTTCGTATCTCTGAATGTTCATATGTCGAGGGTTCGTAAGTAGGGGAGTCCCTGTACGCATTTGAGGCTGAGCCGACCTAGGTGAGGCCAAGGACCGAGTCTCGGGTAATCGTTACGAAAGTTGGCTGTGAGCGGGAATCGAAGTCGGGGCCTTGGGGTTTGTAGAAGCCGCGGAGTGGTGAGGAGTGGTGAGGAGTGGTGAGTGGTGGTGAGGAGTGGTGGGGAGTGGTGAGGAGTGGTGAGGAGTGGTGAGTGCGGTGGTGAGGAGTGGTGAGTCGTGGTGAGGAGTGTTGAGGAGTGGTGAGTGTTGAGGAGTGGTGAGTGGGGTGGTGAGTGGTGGTGGGTGGTGAGAAATAAGTGGTGGTAAGGAGTGGTTACTGGTGAGGAGTGGGGAGTGGTGAGTGGGGTGGTGAGGAATGGTGGTGAGTGGTGAGGAGTTGTGATGAGATGTGACGAGTGGTGAGTGGGGGTGGTGAGTCATGGTGAGCGGGGGCTTTGTGTGCGGGTGGGTGGTGACTTGATGTGGTGAGTGGTGGTGAGTGATTGGTGAGTATGGGTGGTGAGTGAGTGATGAGTGGTGGTGAGTGGTGGTGAGTGGGTGATGAGTTGTGGTGAGTGCTTGGTGAATGGTGGTGAGTGATTGGTGAGTATGGGTGGTGAGTGAGTGGTGAGTGGGTGGTGAGTGGTTGTGAGTGAATGGTGAGTGGGGGTGGTGAGTGGTAGTGGTGAGTGGTGGTGAGTGGTGGTGAGTGGGTGTTGAGTGGTGGAGAGTGGGGGTGGTGAGTGGTAGTGGTGAGTGGTGGTGAGTGGTGGTGAGTGGATGGTGAGTGGTTGTGATAGGGGGTAGTGAGTGAGTGGTGAGTAAGTGATGAGTGAGTGAGTGATGAGTGAGTGAGTGGTGAGTGAGTGGTGAATGAGTGATGAGTGTGTGGTGAGTGAGTGAGTGGTGAGTGGTAAGTGGTGAGTGAGTGAGTGAGTGGTGAGTAAGTGGTGAGTGAGTGAGTGATGAGTGAGTGAGTGATGAGTGAGCGAGTGGTGAGTGAGTGGTGAGTGAGTGGTGAGTAAGTGGTGAGTAAGTGATGAGTGAGTGGTGAGTGGTGAGTAAGTGGTGATTGAGTGGTGAGTAAGTGGTGAGTAAGTGGTGAGTGAGTGGTGAGTGAGTGAGTGAGTGGTGAGTGGTGAGTGAGTGGTGAGTGGTGAGTGAGTGGTGAGTGAGTGGTGAGTGAGTGAGTGGTGAGTGAGTGGTGAGTGAGTGATGAGTGGTGAGTGAGTTAGTGGTGAGTGAGTGGTGAGTGAGTGGTGAGTGAGTGAGTGAGTGGTGAGTGAGTAAGTGGTGAGTGAGTGGTGAGTGAATGGTGACTGAGTGAGTGAGTGGTGAGTGAGTGAGTTTAATGAGTGAGTGAGTGGTGAGTGAGTGGTGAGTGAGTGGTGAGTGAGTAAGTGGTGAGTGAGTGGTGAGTGGTGAGTGAGTGGTGAGTGAGTGGTGAGTGGGTGGTGAGTGAGTGGAGAGTGAGTAAGTGGTGAGTGGTGAGTGAGTGGTGAGTGAGTGGTGAGTGGTGAGTGAGTGGTGAGTGAGTGGTGAGTGAGTAAGTGGTGAGTGAGTGAGTGAGTGGTGAGTAAGTGAGTGGTGAGTAAGTGGTGAGTGAGTGGTGAGTGAGTGAGTGGTGAGTGAGTGGTGAGTGAGTGAGTGAGTGGTGAGTGAGTGGTGAGTGAGTGAGTGGTGAGTGAGTGGTGAGTGAGTGGTGAGTAAGTGGTGAGTGAGTGGTGAGTGAGTGAGTGGTGAGTGAGTAAGTGGTGAGTGAGTGGTGAGTGAGTGGTGAGTGAGTGAGTGGTGAGTGAGTGAGTGGTGAGTGAGTGAGTTGATGAGTGAGTGAGTGGTGAGTGAGTGAGTGGTGAGTGAGTGGTGAGTGAGTAAGTGGTGAGTGAGTGGTGAGTGAGTGGTGAGTGGTGAGTGAGTGGTGAGTGAGTGGTGTGTGAGTGAGTGAGTGGTGAGTGAGTGAGTGAGTGGTGAGTGGTGAGTGAGTGAGTGGTGAGTGAGTGAGTGGTGAGTGAGTGGTGAGTGAGTGATGAGTGAGTGGTGAGTGAGTGAGTGGTGAGTGAGTGAGTGAGTGGTGAGTGAGTGGTTAGTGGTGAGTGGTGAGTGAGTGGTGAGTGAGTGGTGAGTGAATGAGTGGTGAGTGAGTGAGTGAGTGGTGAGTGAATGGTGAGTGAGTGAGTGGTGAGTGAGTTGTGAGTGAGTGAGTGGTGAGTGAGTGAGTGGTGAGTGAGTGGTGAATGAGTGAGTGGTGAGTAAGTGGTGAGTGAGTGAGTGGTGAGTGAGTGAGTGGTGAGTGAGTGGTGAGTGAGTGGTGAGTGAATGGTGAGTGAGTGAGTGAGTGGTGAGTGAGTGAGTGAGTGGTGAGTGAGTGGTGAGTGAATGGTGAGTGAGTGAGTGAGTGGTGAGTGAGTGAGTGGTGAGTGAGTGGTGAGTGAGTGAGTGAGTGGTGAGTGAGTGAGTGAGTAGTGAGTGAGTGAGTGGTGAGTAAGTGGTGAGTGAGTGGTGAGTGAGTGAGTGAGTGGTGAGTGAGTGGTGAGTGAGTGGTGAGTGGTGAGTGAGTGGTGAGTGAGTGAGTGGTGAGTGAGTGGTGAGTGAGTGAGTGGTGAGTAAGTGAGTGGTGAGTAAGTGGTGAGTGAGTGAGTGAGTGGTGAGTGAGTGGTGAGTGAGTGAGTGGTGAGTGAGTGGTGAGTGAGTGAGTGAGTGGTGAGTGAGTGGTGAGTGGTGAGTGAGTGGTGAGTGAGTGGTAAGTGGTGAGTGAGTGGTGAGTGAGTGAGTGGTGAGTGAGTGGTGAGTGAGTGAGTGGTGAGTGAGTGGTGAGTGAGTGGTGAGTGAGTGAGTGGTGACTGAGTGGTGAGTGGTGAGTGAGTGGTGAGTGAGTGAGTGGTGAGTGAGTGGTGAGTGGTGAGTGAGTGGTGAGTGGTGAGTGAGTGAGTGGTGAGTGAGTGGTGAGTGAGTGGTGAGTGAGTGAGTGAGTGGTGAGTGAGTGGTGAGTGAGTGGTGAGTGGTGAGTGAGTGGTGAGTGAGTGAGTGGTGAGTGAGTGGTGAGTGTTTGGTGAGTGAGTGAGTGGTGAGTGAGTGGTGAGTGAGTGGTGAGTGAGTGAGTGGTGAGTGAGTGGTGAGTGAGTGGTGAGTGAGTGAGTGATGATTGAGTGAGTGGTGAGTGAGTGAGTGGTGAGTGAGTGGTGAGTGAGTAAGTGGTGAGTGGTGAGTAAGTGGTGAGTGAGTGGTGAGTGAGTGGTGAGTGAGTGAGTGGTGAGTGAGTGGTGAGTGAGTGGTGAGTGAGTGAGTGGTGAGTGCCCCCACCTCTGGAGCCTGTACCGGGAAGTGTTCCATGGAGTTGTTCCCAGGTGGGTCGACGTCCGGGCTATCATTTAAAGGCCCCAATCCTGTTATCCATTTCGGCTACACGGGTGGGGCACCGTGGGGGGGGGCAGGTGGGGGGGGCACGGGGGGGTGCAAGGGAGAGTCACGGGGGGGGGCACGGGGGGGGGGCACGGGGGGGTGGGCACGGAGGGAGGGAGAGGAGGGAGGGAAGGGACGGAGGGAAAGGGGAGGGAGACAGGGAGGGAGGGGAGGGAGGTAGGGAGGGGAGGGAGGGAGAGAGAGAGACATATTCTTAGCTCTTTCGGTAAAGTCACGTTGAAGGGAAACAATAAAATAATAAAATATATAAAACAAAAAAAAATTCTCACGACGTTTCGACCATAACACAAACGGTCGTCATCAGGTGTGAAAACCCAACGGCAAGAAACATTTGAAAGAAGTGGCGGTCCGCATTTAATTATTTATTTAAAAAGGTGTTTTTATTTATTTATTTAAAAAACGTTTGCACCACGGATAGCGATTTGACAGTTTATTTAGAAGGACGAGTCCATCTATGTTCTGAAAAGAGGAGGGGGGAGACGAAAAATTAATGTATGTCGTCTGAAAGCCACCGTAAGCGTGAACAATCAATTAAAACCCAAAATGGTTTATCAAATCCTTCCAATGATCGCTAAGCCAGAATCCATCTTCTCGGTTGAAATTGTCTCTGTGCTTGTTATATGTGGATAGCCTCATGAACGAATCTCTCGTGGTAGCCAGATGGCTTGCAAATTAACCTCCGTCTGGGAGAAGTCAATGTCATGTGAGCCCACTGAATTATAACAATGATCTGCCACGGCCGAGGTGTTGGTCCTACCGTGTTTAAGGTCTGCCTTGTGTTCACCAAGAGCTCCTGGCCATACCTCTACAACTGTATCTTCTCACACTTCTTGTCGGGGTTTCTTCTCACCAACAGTAAGTGTCTCGCTTCATACGCAACTTGCGATCACTTTGTTTGTCTATGTAGACTTCCTTTGTCCTTCTGTCCTTGTTCTTTTCTGTTGTCTGCACTGTTCAGGGCGCGGTTGCGCTCCCTGCAGGGTATAGGTGTCTCTGTTCTCCACTTTAATACTGCGTAGGAACCTCCTGGTTACTACACCACCAGCCCACAGGGGATTATTGTGTCCGTCCGTCCGTCGTGCATCCAAACATGGGAGTGGTGGGGCTGGGTGGGGAGGGGAGGGTGGGGAGGGGCTGGGTGGGGAGGGGCTGGGTGGGGAGGGTGGGGAGGGGCTGGGTGGGGAGGGGTTGGGTGGGGCTGGGTGGGGAGGGGCTGGTCACCCCGTGGTGCCCTTATAAAACTCAACGTTTCACCAACTCACGCCGGCTTGTGCCCGCCCACACAGTCGGGCATATTGTGCGGAACGCACCACCACGTGGTGCTGCCGCTGTTGACCCCGGCCATTGACCGAGCAACCCAACGTTCCTACCAGCAGCTCCCTCCCTCCGCAGGAGAAAGTGTTTTGCCAGTTGATTTCATAATCACGCTTTCCTTTGTTTTCATTTCGATTTTGAGTTCCTTTGTTCCTCAAGGAATTTTTGAGTTTTGCGGAATTTTTTTCACACTTTTTTTCGTTCCTTTGTCTGGTGTGCCAACACGTGTGTCACACACACACACACACGTGTTGACACTGAACCACACCGACTCGTGTGGTACAGTGCCAACACGTGTCACACACACGTGTTGGCACTGTACCACACGAGTCGGTGTGGGTGCAGTGCTAACATCCCCTTTAGATCCCCCCCCCCCCTCTCGTTTTGTGCTGTGAGCGTGATTACATTACTGTTATTATTTTCATTGGCGTGCTTTTTTCTGCATTTTAGGTTTTTTTTCATATCTCCTTTTGTAAAATTCCGAGGACTTTAAATAATTTTACCCTCTCTCTCCAGGGGAGCTTTGAGCGGACAGCCATACTAGTAATTAACAGAAGGTGGTCATAACACAGGTTTGACCATCTTTATATGTTCAATTCTAGATTTAAAGCTTTCGTGACTGCTAGGATCCATACTCTTTGGTTCTATTGGGTAAAGTCATGTAGGTGAAAATAAAATAATAAAAAATCACGACGTTTCGGCCACAACACAAGCGGCCTTCATCAGGTGAAGGGATGAGACTGTCTGGAGGACAGCGCTGGAGTGAGAGAAGCCACGCTTAGATCACGACCTTTAAGCTGTGTCAGAAGAAAAACACAAAGCGCCTTGACAAAGGAATTAGCATAGAATTTAGCATCTTTATATGCACATTTTTGGGGGTTTTTTTGCGCGTGACATCTCACACGAGTGAAGATGTCCACCCGACCCGCAACGACGTACATGAAAGCTGCCGCGCCTACGCACGGCCGGTCTCTTGGGGCCTGCAAGGCGCCCGCAGCAGCAGCAGCAGCAGCAGCTGGAGCCTCCGCGCGAGGCTGGGATCCGCTGCCCGGCTTCCACCGATGTCCCGCTCGAAGCCTACGCGGAAGCGCCGGGCGCCATCGTGCCCGGAGGCTCGATGAAAGTACGCCTCCAATGTGAGCGGAAGGGTTGGTCTTCTTCATGGAGTCCCAAAAGGTGGCAAACGCCGCCGTGGAGAAGGGGCTGACGGTTGAGGAGTGGCACCTCACCTTGGAGCCACTGTCGTCGCCATCGGTATGCGTAATCGCGTCCAACGTCTCCCCCCCCCCCCCCCCCACTACATTCCCGATAAAGACATCCAAGATAACCTGGCTAAGTTGGGCACGCTGACTTCTAACCTACAGCGTGTGCCTCTGGGCCTCAAAAATCCTGCCTTGAGGCGTGTTTTGTCTTTTAGAAGGCAGGCCTGCATGCTGGTGCCCAATGGGCAGCTCTGAGGAGGGCTCCTTTGTGGTCATGCATGGAGGAAGGGCCCGCAGGCTGTTTTACTGCAGGGACGTGCTAAAATGCAACCTATGCAAAGCAGAGGGGCATGTTAAAAAAGCGCTGCCCAAAGACAGCAAATTCCCAATGCAACAGCGAAGCAACGGTGGAAAAGGGTGCTAAAGAAGCACACCCAACAAGTGACTCAGGAGAGGGTCCCTCACCACGGAGATCACCCGAGATGGCGGTAGACCCCGCTCCGACACCAGCTGCTGCCATGGAGACCGAGGCTCAGCCAGCCACCCAGCCATCATTGACAGCCGGACCTCTGAAGAGGGAATTTATGGAGGATTCGGCTTCGTCATCTCCAGAGTCCAGTGTGGATGAGGTCAGTCCCTTTAGAGATCTCCCAGAGTTGGAGTCGGACATCGCACCAACGCCTGGGGGAGACGCGGAGAGCTGCCGGTGGCGAGGACGGCGGTCTTCGCAGTCCCAGATGCCCCTGGAGGCGGGACACGCAACAGGGAAGAAGTCCCGTGCGGGAACCAAGCTCAGGCGCAGGACGCCTGAAGAAAATCTGGAGCCTGAAATGGAAGCGGGGGGGAAACGCAAACCTGTGCGGTGGCGGAGGAAACCAGTGGAGAGGGTCGCGCCTTCAGACCTCGACGACGCGCCCAGCGAGGTGGCCGAGGGCTCCCAGGAAAACGCGAGCGGCCAAGAGCATGGAGGGGCCCAAACAGGACCCAACTGTGACCAAACTACGCGGGGTGACCAGGACGAGGACGATGGAGGGCCATCAGCGGAGGGGCAGGCGGCATCGCCCGATAAAGCATCGACGGGAGGATACCACGACGACCGAAAATCCTCAAAGCCTGGGGGGCTGAGGAGGGAAGCCCAAGAAGAGGAGTTTGAAGACACCCTCAGCACAGGAAGTGGGGTGAACCTGACATCTGCTGAGCTGACTGAAAGGGGCACCAATATTCTCACAGTCAGAGCTGTGGAACTTTTCGGATGAAGCACAGGGCTCAGAAGAACGAGTGACCGCCACTCTGTCAAGGTGGCGAAATGCGGAGGCAATTATAGCCTCCCTACTCCGTGTTGAACGGGACTTCAAGAGACAGGGAAAGCCGTCATCTGGGAAGGAAAGGAAGAGGATCAGGAAACTTCCTGAGCCAAATAACCACGTGGAAAGAAAACACACCTGGCGACAACTCCACTGACGCATAATGCTGCGGATAGCTGCAAATTAATATAAATGGGTGTAGAGGTCCACTGTAGAGAAGACACTTTGTGCGTTCTCTCGCAAAAGAACGCAAAGCCTCGGTGCTCTTTGTGCAGGAGACGCATCTTACGACCGGCGAGGAGGATGAATGGGAAGCGGAATGGAAAGGTGATTTGTTTTTCAGTCACCTCGCTCATTATTCTTCAGGAGTGGCAACGTTATTTGCACCGGGGGTTTACACCCGCCATAGTTAACCAGGTTGAGGTGGTACCGGGAAGAGCCCTCGACGTGACGATCAAACTTGATGACGTTTCTGTCCACCTCATAAACGTCTATACACCCATCAATGATGCGTAAAAACTGGATTTTTTTCAATGAGTTACAGGACCATCTAAAAAAAACATCCCGAATGACGAGTGTGTGATTTTGGGAGGAGACTTCAACTGCACACTCCATGTCCTCAACCCCCTGGTACCGAGCGGGGCAAAAGCGGTGTCCTGAATACCTTGCGGCACGTGCAGTCTCGCAGACGTGTGGCGGACGCAACATCCAAGGCGGCGAGGTTTTCACCTTGACGAGAACCCGAGCTGACAGAACACTGTCGCAGTCAAGGATTGACCGGTTTTTCCATCTCAAAACACCTTGAAAATCGTGCAGTGTCGTCCAGTATTCAGGCGGCACCACCGGCCGATCATCGCCTTATACTACTTGAAACGAAAATACGAGGAGTCCCAAGGGAATCGGCATACTGGCATTTCGATAAAGCCCTTTTGCAAGACACCACCTTCGTTGGTCTTTTTGGCGTCTTCTGGGTGGACTGGCAGGGAAAGAAAGATTGGTTTAATAGCCTAGCACAATGGTGGGACATGGGGAAAGTACACATTAAAGAAACTGTGTCAGTTGTACGCCTGGGGAAACGCAACAAATATCGACCAATACATTTGTGAGCCGGAGCACAGGGTCCATATTTTAGAGCAAAGGCGGAAGATTGGGGACGATCCAGGCCCTACTGCAGGAATACGTGGAGACCCTAGAATGTCTAAAAAGGGTTGCAGAAAGCAAAGGCAAAAGGGGCATTTGTACGCTCTCGTTTTAAAGATGTCCCTTGATATGGACTCTAGCTCGACACTTTGTTTTTCTCGTTGGGAAAGCAGAATGGTGGACGCAAAGCCATGGAGCATTTATTTGATGACAAGGGGGTCTCGATTTAAAGCTTTCGTGATTGCAAGGATTCATCTTCTTTGGTTCTTTCGGTAAAGTCACCACGTAGAATGAGAATAAAATAATAAAGTGATAAAATAAAATAACGCAATAAAATTCTCACGACGTTTCGGCCACAACACAAGCGGCCTTCATCAGGTGAAGGGACGAGACTATCTGGAGGACAGCGCTGAAGCGAACACAGCCAAACTCAGACCGCGACCTTTAAGCTGTGTGAGAAGAAACAGAGCGCCTTGACAAAGGAAGGCCGCTAGTGTTGTGGCCGAAACGTCGTGAGAATTTTATTGTGTTATTTTATTTGATCAATTTATTATTTTATTCTCATTCTACCTGACTTTACTGAAAGAACCAAAGAAGACAAGGGAGTCCTTGTTTCAAACAATAATCAAATAGCTACAACAATAGCACAGCACTATGGAAATCTCTTCTCTCCAGGGCATGTATCCACAGTGGCCCAAAATGAAATCTAGAAGGACCCCTTGCCTACTTTGGGTGAAGAGGACAGGGACCTTCTATAAGAAGAGGTCGGACAAAGCGACCTGGGCATGGCAGTGAGTGCCCTGGCCAGGAACAAATCCCCAGGGATTGATGGGCTGACGGGAGAGGTTTTTCGCCATTTTGGGCACTCCATACGTAAAGACTACAAAGCCAATTCTAGATTTGAAGCTTTCGTGACTGCAAGGATCCATACTCTTTGGTTATATTCGGTAAAGTCACGTAGGTAAAAAATAAAACAACAAAAATCCCGCCGCCTGTGTTGTGGCCGAAACGTCGTGATTTTTGTTGTTTTATTTTTTTCCTACGTGACTTTACCGAATAGAACCAAAGAGTATGACTACAAAGCCGTTGTGGATGAAGCAGTGGAGACCAACGTGATGCCTCAGTCATGGAGGAGGGCCGTGCTCACACTCGATTCCGAAAAAGGGCGACATCAGACACCTAAAAAAATTGGCGTCCAGTCTCAGTGCTGAGCACAGACTATACGATTCTCGTGAAAGCTGCGTCTGCAAGGCTTAAGCGGGTGTTGGCTAAGATTATTGCCGATGATCAGGTATACACTGTCCCAGGGAGGACCGCCCATGATGGTTTTTTCCTGGTCATAGATTTGATCAGTCTGTCGGAGCATTTGAACTTTCCACTTGCTTTTCTCTCCCTTGATCAAGAGAAAGCCTTTGACAGGGTTGATCACCAGTATCTTCTTGGAAAGCTTTTGGTTTTTGGGACTTCCTTCGTAGGATTTATTGCAGTATAACATGGCCCAGTGTCTGGTTAAAGTGAATGGTGGACCAATTGCTCCTATAGATTTCAGAAGGGGTATCAGGCAAAGGCTGTCCTATGTCAGGACAGCTGTGCACCCTCGTCGTGGAGCTCTTTCTGCATCTACTCCGACGCCGACTCGCCGGACTAACTCTAAAAGAGCCCAGTATGAGAGTGACCCTCACAGCGTATGCCGATGACATCCTCCTCTCCTTACTGAGTTTTGACGACATCGAATGGACTGGGAGAAGTGCAGTGGGCTGCTTGTTGGGAAGTGGGACGAAGCACAGGTTCCCTGAGTTGGCCAAGACCAATAACGTGGAGCAAAGAGAGAGAGCGGCTTCACCATCTCGGCGTGCTCCTGGGACCTGGAGAAAAACCATTGCAGAAAAATTGGGATTTCCTGGAAGAGAAGGCGAGGAAGCGACTGGAGCCTTGGGGGCACCTGCGCAAGTCTCTCGCGTTCAGAGGGAACCCCCCCCCCCCCCTCCCCCGTGGCGGTGAACCAGTTGGTTGCATCCACCTTGTGGCACCGCTTATTTTCCCTCACTCCACCCGCATGCCTCATAGCAAAAACTTCAGAGACTGATAGCTGCCTTCTTCTGGCCGCAGAGGAAGCACCGTGCGGGCCCCCGGTGTATTCTGCCTTGCCACTGCGGGAGGGCGCGGGCAAGGGTCTGGTGTGCGTACGGAGCCAGCTCTCTACCTTTCGCCTACAAGCCGTACAGAGGTTTCTCTACACGGCCCCGTCACCCGTGTGGTGTTCCACAGCAAATGGTTTTCTGAATAACCTCGGGCGGCCTTCAGTGCAGCAAGCGGCTCTTCTTTATGGACATTAGAGGTATTCCACTCGCGCAGATTCCCCGCTTTTACGGGAGTATCCTACGTGCCTGGGGTCTCCTTGTCACCGCCGCCACTGAATACACCCCGGTCAGCATCAGAATTCGCTCACGAGCCGCTGTTACGGAGCCCCAACACGGCACTACCCTCTCTCTTGCGGGCCCTGCCATGGACAAAACGCGTGGTGGACGCACGACTCACGAGGGTGGGCGATGTGGTGAGACCAGGCACGGAGGGGCAGTGGCTTCTCCCTGCCGAGATAACTCGGTGAGACTCGCCGCAAGACTCGTGAATGAGGTACGAAGGTCCTTCTCAACAGCAGCGACGGCGGGGAGCGCACCTGCTGTGAGTGTTGGCGACGAGTCAGCCGGCGGTGGCCCAGTGCCACCAACACTGAATGTCGCCCCAGCACGGGAGCGCACTCGCCTGTCTTCCTCACAGCAGCGCGGGGGGCACACCGCGGGGAATCGCCAGGAGGAGGAGGAATGCTTCGCCGGTGTAGACCGGAACAAGCTGTACGCCGAAATGGTCGATTTCCACCACCAGCAAATCATAACGTCACGCAAGGGCTACGCTTGGACGGGGGCACGATGCCCTGCAGGTGATCGCTTGAGGCCTCACTGGGAGCTGTTTCACTCGAATCCATCGTACAAGCGCCACGGCGATCTGAGCTGGAGCACTGCCCCATGGGACTAGCGACCACGGGCACGTTCCCCGGCAACTTTTCACGGACACAAATCCGGAATGCGGATCCTGCGGTGAGCTCGAAACAGCGGCGCATCGATGCGTACGCTGCAAAAGCCTGGGCTCGCTCTATAAGCTGCCACGCAATATTCTACTGAAATTCAATCTTCATTTCTCACCCACAATTCTTATTTTTGGATATAGGGGGAACGGGGGTACCAAGGATACAGATGGGTCGACGAACTTCATCACGAACAACGCCAAAACTGGCCAGCTATAGTGCCGCCGGGAAATGCGAAAATTGACGGGAGCGGCCTCCCCAGCCACTGGCCACTGCCGCATCTTCAAGGGCCCTCTGGTTTCTGCCAGAATTTGGCTGGAGTTTCGGTACGCTCAGTTGACGGGGGGGGGGGGGGGGGTGGTGGTGGGGGTGTGTGGCGTCTTTCTCGACGCGTTGGGCTACCGAGGGTGCTTCGTGTGATGCAACGAAAGCAGGGGGATCTGGCGATGGGTTTTTTTTTTGGGGGGGGGGTAATTTTTGATTCTCGTTGGTGCTCTTTGAACCCCCGTGAGCAGGCAAAACACGGGACTAGTGCTGCACGGGGGCACCCGCGTTATATTTTTGATTTGACAAAAAGAGGGGGCACGCGAGCCCAAAAAAAAAACCGGCGTGATGAACGAAGTGAGGCGCCGAAAGACCGAGCATCTCTCTGCTTCTTCTGATCGTTAAAAAAATGAAAGGACGGACGGACGGACGGAGGGACGGGGGGACGGGGGGGGTAGATAAGATAAAGAGGAGTCGGACTGCTCCATCGCCCCGCGCTTGTTGTTATCGCGGTCCAAGGTCCGTCGTTTTGTCCCCACCACCAACGCCACGAGGCTCTGGCCCTCATTACCCCCCCCCACCCCCCCACCCCACACCCCCCCCCCCCCTTTGGTCCAAAAAGCACGTTCCTGCGACGTTCAACGCACTGCTGCCCAGCTATGCTGCTGCTGCTACGTTGGTGGCAACTGTGTTCAGGTCGAGTGGTTAGTGGGGTCAGCTTGGGGTCAGGGTGGAGTCAGAGTGGGGTCAGGGTTGGGTCAATGTAGGGTCAGGATGGGGTCGGGTTGGTGTTTTGGGATCAAGGTAAGGTCAGGGCGGGGTCAGGATGGGGTGTTGGAGCCAGGGTGGGGTCAGGTAGGGGTCAATTTGGGGTGTTGGGGTCAGGTTGGGTATTGGGGTCAGGGTGGGGTCAGGTAGGGGTCAAGTTGGGGTGTTGGGGTCAGGTTGGAGTATTGGGGTCAGAGTGGGGTCAGGTAGGGGTCAAGTTGGGGTGTTGGGGTCAGGTTGGGGTATTGGGGTCAGGGTGGGGTCAGGTAGGGGTCAAGTTGGGGTGTTGGGGTCAGGTTGGGGTATTGGGGTCAGGGTGAGGTCAGAATGGGGTCAGGGTGGGGTCAGGGTGGGGTCAAGTTGGGTTGTTGGGTCAAGGTGTGATCAGGGTGGGGTCAGGTGGGGTGTTGGGGTCAAGGTGTGATCAGGGTGGGGTCAGAGTGGGGTCAGGGTGGGGTGTTGGTGTCAGGGTGGGGTCAAGGTGGGGTCAGGTGGGGTGTTGGGGTCAGGGTGGGGTGGGGTCAGGGTGGGGTGTTGGGGTCAGGGTGGGGTGTTGGGGTCAGGGTGGGGTCAGGGTGCGGTGTTGGTGTCAGGGTGGGGTCAGGGTGGGGTCAGGGTGGGGTGTTGGGGTCAGGGTGGTGTCATGGTGGGGTGTTGGGGTCAGGGTGGGGTCAGGGTGGGGTGTTGGGGTCAGGGTGGGGTCAGGGTGGTGTCAGGGTGGGGTGTTGGGGTCAGGGTGGTGTCATGGTGGGGTGTTGGGGTCAGGGTGGGGTCAGGGTGGGGTGTTGGGGTCAGGGTGGGGTCAGGTTTGGGTGTTGGGCGCAGGGTGGGGTGTTGGTGTCAGGGTGGAGTCAGGGTGAAGGTTCTGACCATAGCGGCACCCGCAGCTGGCCAATAGATCAGATTACAGCACACAGCGGACTCCACTCTCTTCAGCCAGGGCACAAAGTAGACAGAGGCGAAGCAGGTACTTCTCACCTGCACACACACACAAACACACACAGACACACACACAGACATATAAACACACACAGAGACATACACAGACACAGAGAGACACACAGTCACACACACAGCCACACACACAGACACACACACAGACATATACAGACATATATACACACACAGATACATACACAGACACAGAGAGACACACAGTCACACACACAGCCACACACACACAGACACACACACAGACAGATACACACAGACACAGACAGATACATACACAGACACAGAGAGACACACAGTCACACACACAGCCACACACACACACAGACACACACACAGACAGATACACACACAGAGACATACACAGACACACACACAGACACACACACAAACACACACAGACAGATACATACACAGACACACACAGAGAGACACACACAGACACACACACAGACACACACAGACACAGACAGATACATACACAGACACACACACAGAAACACACACAGACATATACCTACCACACACATACACCCCCGTGTAGCTTTATCAAACCATTGGGGCAAGTGCTGTTAGCAACAACAACCGCCATTCGCCACTAAGTGGCGGTGACGTCACCACGACGCTTGTGCCAGGCCATGTGCACCTTGAGGCCACGTGAAGTGTCGAACGCCCGCTGGCAGGAGGTCACGGGGCAGACCCAGGTGCCACGGGTCGACTGACTAAGATGACTGAGATGACTGGCTGATGCACCATCTGTGCCCCCTACTGTGCCAACCTGCTGTGCTTTAGCCACCCGGCGCTCCGCTCGTTGTTGTGAGCGTCGCTCCTCCGCCCTCCGTTGTTGTTGGAGAGCGACTGCCTCCAACTGCCCAGTAGCGTCCTTCACGAGCCTCCTCCACAGAGGCCGATCTTGACACCGCTGGTACCAGTCATCGGCAAGTCCACCCAGCTCCACGTCCTCCTGTACCACATCAATCCATCTCTTCTCTAGCCTGTGCCGCGCCCGTTTAGCCCCCTCTATCCGGCCGAACAAAAGCTGTTTCGGCATGCGGTGGCTGTGCATGCGGGCTACATGACCCAGCCAACGCAGCCCTGCCTGCCGGAGGAGCTCACCGATGGGACCTTGCCCAGATCTTTCAAGGATGTGTGAGCTCCTCACACAATCCAGCTTGGTTAAACCCAGGATGGATTGTAGGCAGGCCAGCCTAAATGTTTCTCACCGGCGAAGATGTTCCATTAGGGGGGTCCACGTTTCGCAGGCGTAGAGAAGGGAGGGAATGACCGTGGCCGAGAAGACCTGAAGCTTAGTGTGGAGCGACAGACCAGGTAGCTTCCACACAGCGTTACGCAACCGATGAAAATATATTGCCGCTCGACTGATTTGGAGTGAGACCTCTGCTATTAAACCGGAGCCGGTCATAAGCACACTGCCCAGGTATGGGAAACTCTCCACTCTCTCCACAACTGCCCCATCACCGATTGGGAGTTGTGGGGGTGGAGTGTCCGATGGAACAAAATACCCAGGCAGGTGCTTAGATTTGGTGGGGCTGATGGTAAGGCCCCACTTCATAGTGGCACGCTCCAGTTCCAGAAGCAGCGTCTTCAACTCCTCCTCTGAGTGAGGAGCAATTACCAGATCATCGGCATACATAACGTGGTTGACCAATAGGGAGCCATCCCTTGACCGCACCCGAGCATCGATCAGCCTCCCATTATATCTGTACCAAATCGAAATTCCTCCGGTACAGCTATTGAAGGCTTCACGAACTCCGTGATCAAAATAGATGTTAAATAATGTGGGAGCCAAAGGACATCCCTGTCGCACCCCACGGTGTACAGGGAATGGCTCTGACTCCTGGCCACGTAGTTTAACCCGGGCCCGCTCACCATCATGAAGGTCCTTAATGAGCGTGAGCAGAGAGAGGGTCAGGGACTCCGAAAGCACGAAGAACAACCCAGAGCCCAGACCTACTGATGGTATCATAGGCGTGTGTATGTCTGTGTGTGTGTGTGACTGTGTATGTGTGTGTGTGCGGTGTGTAAATGTCTGTGTGTGTGACTGTGTATGTTTGTGTGTGTGGTGTGTATATGTCTGTGTGTGTGCGTCTCTGTGTGTGTATCTTTGTCTGTTTGTATGTGTGTATATGTGTATGTCTGTGTCTGTCTGTGTATGTGTGTGCGTGTCTGTGTGTTTCTTTGCCTTGTGTGTGTGTCTGTGTGTGTATCTGTCTCTGTCTGTGTATGTGTGTGTCTGTGTGTGTGTGTCTGTCTGTCTGTATATGTCTGTATGTACGTGTGTCTGTCTGTATGCGTGTGTATGTGTGTATGTCTGTATGTATGTGTGTATGTGTGTCTGTCTGTGTATGTGTGTCTGTGTGTGTATGTGTGTGTGCGTGTCTGTGTATCTTTGTCTTCTGTGTGTCTGTGTGTGTGTATCTTTGTCTGTTTGTTTGTGTGTGTCTGTGTTACTGTGTATGTGTGTGCGTGTCTGTGTGTATCTTTGTCTTGTATGTGTGTGTCTGTGTATGTCTCTGTGTATGTGTGTGTGTCTGTCTGTATATGTCTGTGTGTCTGTCTGTATGTATGTGTGTATGTCTATATGTCTATATGTATGTATGTGTGTGTATGTGTGTCTGTCTGTACGTCTGTGTATGTGTGTCTGTCTGTATGTGTGTGTATGTGTGTCTGTGTGTGTATGTGTGTGTGTGTGTCTGTGTGTATCTTTGTCGTGTGTGTGTGTGTCTGTGTGTGTCTCTGTCTGTGTATGTGTGTCTGTCTGTATATGTCTGTGTGTATGTGTGTCTGTCTGTATGTATGTGTGTGAATGTGTGTATGTCTGTATGTATGTGTGTGTATGTGTGTCTGTCTGTACGTGTGTGTATGTGTGTCTGTCTGTATGTGTGTGTATCTTTGTCTGTCTGTTTGTGTGTGTATGTGTGTGCGTGTCTGTGTGTCTGTCTGTGTATGTGTGTGCGTGTCTGTGTGTGTATCTTTGTCTGTCTCTGTCTGTGTGTGTATCTGTGTGTGTGTCTGTGTGTCTGTATCTGTCTCTGTCTGTGTGTGTATCTGTGTGTGTGTCTGTGTGTCTGTCTGTGTGTGTGTCTGCGTATGTGTGCTAATAGCGCTTGCCCTAACGGTCTGTTAAGGCTACACGGGGTATCTTGGTCTTTCCGTATCTACGTGTAAGTATCTATACGTGCATAAATACGATACAGAAGGTACTCACGGTACAATACAGAAGGTTACTCACGGTGCGATACAGAAGGTACTCACGGTACAATATAGACGGTACTCACGGTACTCACGGTACTGCGTGTTTTGCGAGCAGCGCTACACTGAGATATACCACGCGCTGGTCCAAAGGTGAGTTTGTGTACCAGGCTCAACCACCCACTCACAAGGGTGAGTCTAGTGACCTCACTCACCCACAAAGGTGATGAGTGGGTGAGTGAGTGGGTGGGTGAGTGAGTGGATGGGTAAGTGAGTGAGTGGGTGACTGGTTGGGTGAGTGAGTGGGTGCGTGGGTGGGTGGGTGAGTGAGTGGGTATGTGGGTGGGTGGCTGGGTGGTTGAGTGGATAAGTGGTTGAGTGGATGGGTGGGTGAGTGAGTGAGTGGGTGAGTGAGTGGGTGAGTGGATGGGTAAGTGGGTGGGTGGCTGGGTGGTTGAGTGGATGGGTGGGTGAGTGAGTGAGTGGGTGAGTGGGTGAGTGAGTGGGTGAGTGAGTGGGTGAGTGAGTGGGTGAGTGAGTGAGTGGATGGGTAAGTGGGTGAGTGAGTGGGTGATTGAGTGGGTGAGTGGATGATTGAGTGAGTGGGTGAGTGGGTGAGTGGGTGAGTGCGTGAGCCGGTAACGATCTCGGTACTACCTCGACAGGGTGGCGCCAGGGTTGACTCAGCCTCAAATGAGTTCCCAGTGCGGTGTAGTAAACATCGCAACCGGGGAGACAAAGGCGGCCGGGCGTGCGTGGTTCCGGCCACGCACCCAGCCGCTCGTGTGCCGTGCCGGCCTTCACAGGCACAGCTGCTACTCGCTAGCAGCACTTGCCCCGGCATTCCACGTGGGCTACACGGGGAGACCTTTGCCTTTGTGTGTCACCTCTCTTTTGTGTTTTTTACGATCGGTGTAGTCGGCACTTTGCTTCGTTCACCATTTCGGGTTTTTTTTTCAATGAAAGATTTCACGCTCTGCTCTCCTTCTTACCCATTCCTTCTCTCTCTCTCTACCCCCCTCTCTATACCCCCCCCCCTCTCTCTCTCTACCCCCCTCTCTATACCCCCACCCCCCTCTCTCTCGACCCCCCCCCCCTCTCTCTCTACCCCCCACCCCCCTCTCTCTCTCTCTCTCTACCCCCCTCTCTATACCCCCACCCCCCTCTCTATCTCTACCCCCCTCTCTCTAACCCCCCTCTCTCTCTCTACCCCCCTCTCTCTCTCTACCCCCCTCTCTCTACCCCCACCCCCCCTCTCTCTCTCTCTACCCCCTCTCTCTCTCTCTACCCCCCTCTCTCTCTCTCTACCCCCTCTCTCTCTACCCCCTCTCTCTCTCTACCCCCCCCCTCTCTCTCTACCCCCCCTCTCTCTCTCTCTACCCCCCTCTCTCTCTCTCTCTACCCCCTCTCTCTCTCTACCCCCCCCTCTCTCTCTCTACCCCCTCTCTCTCTCTCTACCCCCTCTCTCTCTACCCCCCCCCTCTCTCTCTCTCTCTACCCCCTCTCTCTCTCTCTACCCCCTCTCTCTCTCTCTACCCCCTCTCTCTCTCTACCCCCCCTCTCTCTCTCTACCCCCCTCTCTCTCTCTACCCCCTCTCTCTCTCTCTACCCCCCCCTCTCTCTCTCTCTACCCCCTCTCTCTCTCTCTACCCCCTCTCTCTCTCTCTCTCTACCCCCTCTCTCTCTCTACCCCCTCTCTCTCTCTCTACCCCCTCTCTCTCTCTCTCTACCCCCTCTCTCTCTCTCTCTCTACCCCCCTCTCTCTCTACCCCCCTCTCTCTCTCTACCCTCTCTCTCTAACCCCCCCTCTCTATCTACCCCCTCTCTCTCTCTCTACCCCCTCTCTCTCTCTCTCT